AAATTTTATATTATTTATTTATTTAAATTTAATAGTTAAGATTAATTATAATTATTTTTTATTATATTAAAATATAATTTATCTTTTTTCTCAAAATATTAATTAATTTTATTCATTAATTCTAATCAAGTTAGCTAGGTAATATTCGGTGTTAAGTATTCTTATATTTATATCAGTACCAATTGATCCATTCTCATATATGTATATATATATAGTATATATATATATGGTATTAATATAGTGATAGTCTCAAATTTAAACAATATTTTAGATGGCGTATGATACGATTGAATAATTTTTTATAGAATGGAAATGAGAATGGAATAGAATAGAATAGAATCAAAATTTTCACGAGTATATTTGGTGCACACTAATGAAATAAAGATTCTCATTTCATCATTATATTTGTTGTCTTGGAATGGAAGTGAAAAAGAAAACAAAAAGAATGTTCAAAAACAAAAATACTCTTTATTAGAAACAGTTCAAAAACTTTTATTTTTAATATATTATAAATATAATAAACATTAAAAATTTGAAAAATTTATATTCTAACCTTAAATATTAAATTTCAAAATAAATAATTTAACAATATAATATTATAATATTATGTAGTTATTGAAACTTTATAAAATGGTGTTTCGTTTTTTTAACAATTTAATTCCTCAATTTTTAAAATTTTTTCAAAGTATCAGATTATTAATACGTTATAGCATATAGTAATATTATATTTTCACTTTTTCTACTATTATTTTATTATTTCTCATATAAGAAAAAAAATTTAAATATCCTATTGTAAAATATTTTTGGCTTTTGGTATATTAAGATAGTTTTATCATTTACTAAAAATATAAAAGATAATAAAATAATTTTATATTTAATTAAAAAAATAAAATCTGGATTCCTATCATTTAAAAGAATTCTCATTATTTAGAGAATGAGAATTTTCATTTCAATACATCTATTAAATATGATTTTGTAATATTTTCATTTTCATTTTCATTTTCATCTCTTTTTCAAAATTTCACCCTATCACCATGCAATACCTTAATAATTAGTCTCAAATAATTAAGTGACTGGAGATCCCCTGCTTGTCCATGGTAGTAGTTAGTTTGTATCAGGGAAGAAATGAGGATAGCACTAGCTATCCCATAGCGGGGGAACGGGGATAGGGGAATTATATCCCTCCCTTATCACAATTTGCCTACCAAATTGGATAAGCCCAAAGTCATCAGATTTTCGTTTACAGAGTCACCTACGGTGGCTCTCACTTGTTTTATTTTTTGTTTTCTTAGTTTCATACTCAGCCAAACACAAATTTATGTCATAGTATTTATCACTTTGTCCTATATCATAAAATTCGCCTATAAATCTTACCATATTTAATTTGTTCAATAATTATCCCATCTCCTATTATGTCCTACCTACTGAAAATGTACATGATAAGTATTCTCTCCCACCTCCTCACCATATTCTTTTAATATCATCTTAATTTAATAATTTTTAATATGTAAGTCATGATTTATTCTATCTCATCTCATTTCTCTTTTGAGTACCAAAATTAAAATAACTCATCCAAAATAACCTTACAAATTTAGTCCCTCCCAATTTTTATCTCAGGAGTCCTAAAATTTAGCATCATTTCCACTTTTGTTACAAAAATTCAATATGCATAATCTTTGCTAGAAATATCACAAAACAAACCTGGCTTGTAGGCGTAGTTAGGCCTATTCCCGATTCATGAATCGGTTTGGATTAGAACCACATTGGTGGTTCCATTGAAAAATATGAACAAGGATTGGAGCTGTGAAAGCCAATTCTATTTCGATCTTAGAATTTTACACTTCTAGTTCATCACAGTTTCAATTCTAGTCTGAGTTAGTTTTTGATTTCGGTATGATTTAACCAAAAATATTCAAATATTAACACAAAAGTATTTTTGGGTCATTGAATATCTTCAAATATTATAAATATTTAATTTTATAAATATTTTTCAAATACTAAACATAAAAACTGAAAATGACTACTTGGCTTCTAACTTAATCTTCTCTTATCTTACATTAATAAAAAAAAAATGAAAATGATTATTTGGCTTAAAAAAAGAACAAAAAAGTTTTTATTGAGGAAATATGAATTTTATAATTTTTGTTAATAAATGTGTTTAAAATAATTTTATATCTAAAAATAAGTTTTCTTTTATATTAAAAAAATAAATTGTATATATTTATATCTAAAAAATAAGTAAAAGTCTTTTTTCTACATATAAAAAAGAAAAAACAGTTTTTTCACGATTTTAGTTTATGGTTCTTTAATAATCTTGATTCATGATTTAACATTTATAATTCGCTTACAATTTTAGTTCATAGTTTACTAATAATTTTGGTTTATAATTTTATCCTTATTTTAATTTATTAGTCTAATTCTGATTTTAGTTCTGCTTTAAGTCTAAAATCATGAAGTTTAATGAAATGGAAAAATTTTTAGTTTAAAACCGAATGTGACCAAAAATTAATAATCCAATTTAGTCTAATTTTTTCGCCGTAACCGGTCCAAACCGGACCGTGAGCAGGACGCTTCCTTAGAATTTAGCTACGCATTGAGATAGACGTCAGGTTCTTGAGTAGACGTATATCTGATTGACTACGGGGCAATCAGATGCAAACATGGGAGAAGGTTTAATTACTAACCTGCCACTCACAGTTTGCATCTGAACATATCCCGAAGATTCCCGAAGCGGGGTCCAAACATCTCCCCATTCATGAATGTAAAAAGTGGGGCGGCTTAAGTTGTTTTTAAATATGTTAAAAATAAATTAAATCAAGTCAAAATAGTTAGGCCAAGTGAATGATTTTTAATTAATTTATATTTTATCGTGATAGAAAGTGAGGCACGTGGGCTCATGCAAAGCACAGTAAGGGGATAAACATATGTATACAGGTATGTTAGTGCAAGATATTATTTTTGAAATAGTGTTATAAAAAGTAATAATTAAAAAAATATTAAAAATATAAAAATTAAAATTATTTATAAATTTTTTTAAAAATAAAAATTAATAAATTAATATTTAGTAAAACAGTTATAATAATTGTTTATTAGCTTAAAATATTTAAATTATTATCTTTTAAAAGTGATATACATGACTGTAAAATAGATTTTTTGGATAGTAAATAAAAATTTGAAATTATTAAGATAAAATTAAATAAATTATTAATAACTTGTAAAATTTAATTCTTGACATTCTATTTTTTAATATAAATTTATTTTTAATATAAAATATAATTTTACTTGTTTTTAAGTTATAATTTAATTAAAATAAATAATCGTACAATAATATTTTTGTTAATTTGAATAAGCGTAAAATAGAATTATAATAAAAATTTAAAATATATTTATCTAATAAAAATTTTAATTATTTATAATTATAACATTCGTTATAAGAAATATGAGTTTAAATATTTTTATTTTTAGCTAATTTTATTTAAATTTTTTTAAAAATAACACAAGAAATAATAATATAAATAAATAAAATTATTAAAAAATAACTCAGACAAGAAGACGCCATGTAAAATTAATAGCATACATTTCCCGGATCAACAGGTGGGGGGGGGGGGTGGGGAGGGCATGTGCTGGACCAGACATGGGACTTAAATTAATTTGTGATTCGTAGAACTTGGACGAGGTTAAAGGTGGAGTAGTGCCATGTGGCAGCCTAAAAAACATACAGGGATATCTTGGATTTAAAAAATTTTGGTTCTGCAGAGGTAGGTGGAGCCTGGAGGAGGGTAGTGAAAATATCAACTCAGGTTGAGTCACACCAGGGAAAAAAGAAAGAGTCCACCTCTCCACCAGTTGAACGGAAGAGAATCCACCCCTCCATAATGGTATGTTTGGTACGCATTTTTAGGGTAAAAAGAAAAGAGAAAAAAGGGGTTTAAGAAAAAGGATACTTTTTTATTTGGCATCAATTTTGAAAAAGAAATGAAGCGATTTTGAAGAATGCATTTTCCTTCTGTTTTACGGTCATTTTACTCGTCATTTGGATAATGGATTAGGAAGGAAAGGAAATGCACGAAACTCATAACTTCTCCTCCTTATTTGAATCCTGAAAATCTAGAACTTTTTCACTCGTTTCACTTTTCAGACCAACTTCTCTCCTCTAAACTACTTCTTCCTTTCGGCCGTTGTTCAGTCAAGAAACCCAACAAAAATAACCAACCTTTCTCTGTCCCCTGTTCTCTGCCTCTTTGTATTTGCTTGCTGATGCAGCCTACGACGAAGATGATCAATAGCCTCTGTGGTTCTGCTTTTCTCAGACGATTGTGGCAAAATCCTCTTTTCCATTACACTTTTCTTATTCAGTAGATGAGCAGCCGGTACTTTTTCAACGATCGTTGAAGTAAGAGGATTTCACAAAAAAGAGATGAACGGTATAATTTGCTATTTTGCCCGTTGCTCTTTCAATATTTTTTCCATCTTTCAATTTGGTTTCTAATATGCTCAGTTTCACACCAATTTTTGAATTTTAAATTTTAAATTTCTTCACTTAAATTCTTACCAGAAATATAAAACTTTTAATATTATTCTATTAAGTTTTTACAATATTAAAAATTAACATTTATTGATATATATTTTTATATTTTATTTATTTACGATGAAATCAAATAAATAAAAGAAACCATTCTTCCTTTTTTATTAGATAATACTAAATACCATGAACGGTATCTCCCCGTTTTTCTCTTTTTTTTTTTTTTTTAAATTATATTCCTCTTCTTTTTCTCTATTCCCCCGGATACCAAACCTAAAGTATTAACCCCGTTGGGCCCACGGAGCATGGGAATCTTCAGTCTCCATAACATGACGGAAGCTCCGCGGGACCCTTTTCCTGTAAAATTCCCCGTTACCGAACCGACCCGGCTACCATTGCTTCTTACCCCTGCACCCCCAAGACCCCTTTCGGCGTCTATAAATAATGGCTTCACGATACCTTACCTTGGCTTGAAGAAGCCACTCTAGAGCATCTTCAATCCCCTCCTTCTCTCCTGAGAAGCCCCTCTCCACTTCCTTTTCATAAATTTAAAGAACTGGACACGACCTGTCTTGTACCTCAACAGCAGAACAGAACGAGCATGGCTGGAGCTTCTCTCAACACCAGTCCCAACCTAGCTGTCAAGCCCAACGCTGCCGCCCCCTCCACCATCAAGTTCCTCTACAGCTATGGCGGCAGGATCCTCCCCCGTTACCCCGATGGGAAGCTCCGTTACCACGGTGGCGTAACCCGTGTCCTCGCCGTTGACCGCTCCATCTCCTTCGCTGGTGAGTTCGCTTTCATCCTCTAGTCACCTCTTGTAATAATTTTCTGTATCTAGTCTCTCCGTACGCGTTTGTTGAATGGAGGAAGTGGATTTACAGAGCTCTTGGTGAAGCTTGGGGAATTGTGCGGAACGTCGGTGAGTCTTAGGTGTCAGCTGCCGACGGAGGATCTGGATGCGCTGGTATCGATCACCTCCGATGAGGATCTCGCCAATCTCATCGAGGAGTACGATCGAGCTGCTTCACCGACCTCCTTTGTAAAGATCCGAGCCTTTATCTCGCCACCTAAATCTGCCAAAAAAGTCTCGCCCCCGCCTTCAACAGTCGCGTCCGTTGGCCTAATTGGCGGAGCATCTCCGAAATCGGCATATTCCATGGCTAGTTCTTCCCAATTTCCGGTGGATCGGTGCATCCACCAGATGGCGAAGCCGGTATTGTATCCTTGTGCTATGAGAAATCTGGTGCTGGAACGGTTCATCTTCATCCTTATGCTCGTCATCGAAACCCTAGCCATACATACTTTGTTCACAATGGCCACTATTGGCAATAGATCTGCTTAATTCGGTGGATTTGGACTTAATTTTACATCAATCCGGAAAGTAATAGAAACTCTATTCCGTTAAAAATCCAAAAAAAATGCGGGATCCAGATGATTTATAAATGACTGGATAATGGACTGTAAATTTTTAATTTTGTTTTTCTTTTTTGAATCGTGGCGTGCAATTAATTGAATTATTCAGCCCAGTACTCAGTTTTAGATCAATCAATACTATGGCGAGCTTTTTATTCGCCTTTGTTTGGAAGCCATTGTTGCAGAGCATTGTCTCCCTTTCTCCGTTCCCAATTTGTGACTGCCTGGTTCTTGCCGTTACTCGTTCAACCGGAGTCCCCTTTCTAGTTTCTTTCAGCCATTTATTGCGTTAACCTTTGTTTTCTTCTTTTCATTTATTTTTTGTTTGTCTGGTTGGGAGGTCCTCTTTTCTTTTTTTTTTTTGGTTAGAATGATTTGTCCGTTTCTCATTTGCTACAAAATTATAAAGAAAAAGGGGGAAATTGTCCCCTCTACTTGAAATTATCATCCTCGATTTTATATTTTCACGTTCCTGACCATTGCTTCACTCTTTTTCTTTTCTTAGATGTATTTGGGGTCTTTGTTTTCTATATATCTGCATATAATGGTTCTAATTCTGTTTGTTTGCTTGTGCATTTGCAGGTAAAGGAAGACAATTCAGGCTTCTTTGGATTGTTTCAAGTATCATATGGATAAGACGCAGTTTGCTAGTAATTCCTTTCAAGTTGGGGAAAAGTAATGTTAATAATTCATAGCTCCGTCGCTTTGATTACTTCTCATCTTCAATTACTAGTTATTGATGGAACCTTTTTCCAGATGAAGAAAATGATTGGTTTCTAAAATTCTGCAAATTATTGTTGAAACTTATTTGACACCTAACCGGACGAATTGTCATATCTTCACACAGGCAAGTGATCTGTTGCTTGCATACTTCGGGCAAAACCTGCCTGCCAATGTTTGTTATATGATTTCTTGCCCCATTTTATTTGATGGCTTTTATTTTTTCATTTTTGAAAACAAAAAGTATATTGGGCTTCTTGGATTTGAGATTATGAGAGTGCTTCAAAGAATTTCAGAAATCGAACGCTCCAAAGTTTAGATTACAACTTTGAAAGCGCCTTGGGAAATACTTTTGAAGAAAATCATCCATCATCCAGGCTTTTTACTGCCCACAGGTAAAAATAAAATGGAGCACCCATATAATGATGATGTTTTTGATGCCTAAGATTGGTTCCTTATTTTGCAGGCTTACGGTCTAATACTGCCAAGAATTTTGAAGTCATTGACACGGTGGAGGATATTGTCCTTCCTTTGCACCGTGGCCGAAGCCGAAGCCGAAGACGAAGCCATCAAGTTTGAGCTGAACAATGGGCTATTAAAGAATGGTCCTTGGCGAATGTTGAAATTGGCGGTGGAGCTTCCCAGCAAAACGACGGCAAAATAACGCCGAAAGGGAACTACTTTGGGAGGGTTTCAGAACTTGGAGAGACGCATTATCTACCCGAACTTGGAGTGGGAGCTGTTCGATGAAGAAGAAAACGATAAACAAAAACAAAAATAAACTACCAGGAGTACAGGGAAGAGAAATAGTGGCCAAACGGGCCCATATGACAGCTGTAGGAGATTCCCTAAAATTGACATAGGGGCAACTTAGTCTTTCCCGCTTCGGGAAGAGTTTTGCATAAAGCCGGAGAACTTTTTAATTATATAAGGTAATATTAAATTAAACTCCAAAAGAAGAAATAGGGAATTTGTAAGAAAATATTTGGACAACGGGCTCTACGAGTCAGCTAAAACGTGTTATTCCTTTAAAGTTATTATTGTATTTTGGGTAAAAAATATTTTTCTCTTTAAAATAAATTTATTTAAATAATATTTAATTTTATATTTATTATAAGAAATATATTTTTTTGATTAATTGTTAATTAATAATTATTTAATAATTTTGTTAAAAAATGTAAAGGTAATATAATTTATATATTTTATTTATTAGTTTGATTAAAAATTAAAATATTATTTAATTTGATTAAAATTTTATTTTTTAAATATATTATTTTAATTTAAAAATAAAAATGTATCTTGAATTATATAATTTCATTATTTTTTAATTTTTAAATAATTTTTGTTTTGTTTTTTACATTATACAAATATTTTTTAACTTAAATGATATTTAACTATTTTTATTATAATATTTAAATAAAATTAAAAAAATAAAATAGAATAATTTAAAAATAAATAAAATTAAACTATTAAACTTAAATGAATTAAATAATATTTTAATTTTTAATTACATAAAATTGGTTATATTTACATATTTTTAAATAAAATTATTAATAATTATTAGTTAACAATTAATTGAATGAAGAAAGTGTTTTTCTATAATAAAAAGGAAGTTAAATATCATTTAAGTAAATTTAAAAGGAGGATTGTTGTTATTATTTTATTTTTTTTAAAAAAAAAGAAAAGATAATGTGTCCAAAATGATAATTTTAAAGTATTTTTAATGATAATAAAATATTTGTGGCCAAAGATAAATAAAAAAATTGACATTAGTTATTGACTAATAAGTTTTCAACGAAGAGAAGAAAAAACAGATTTTGGCCAAATGATATACATATTCACATTAACTCCTATATAATTTATTTATTAGAAAATGGCAAAGAAAAATATTGTTGAACAAAACAACAATTGTTAGATTAAAAATTAACACTGAACTTTTTGAAATTTGTTAACTGCCCGTTCTTTTTGAAAAATTGAAGTTACCCAAAAATATAAAAAGGCTACTTGACTCGGTAGGTACTAGAGATAACGTGGATAACGAAGAAGTGGAGGGCGGCCAAATGATTGACTCACGCAACAAGGATGCGTAAGCGAAGCCTAGATTAAATGAATACTGGGGACAACCTCTTCGGATATGGTCACTTACCAAAATCACAAGCGAATGGAGATTCTCACTGTTCAGATGACAACATGACATCGGCTATTTCGTTTTTAATTTAACCTCTTTTATAATAAAAATAAGAATATTTAATCTTCTCAGATATTTCTTTTTTTTTTTTTAAATAATTCATCACTTTTTCTAATGGTACATATTTTTTTCGATGTCCCTTTTATTTAATTAAATATTTTTAAAATAAAAAGACAAAAATAAAATAAAGAAAATCTCGTTTAAACCCTTTCTAACTCTTTTCCCCAATTACCAATTTTTAAAATAATAATAAAAATTTTAAAGTGCACGAATTAAGTTTTTAAAATTCTTAAAATATATTGAATATTACTAAAAAATTTCTTAAAATTTCAAATTTAACAGCCTAAGATTCTACCATTTGACAAATAGTAACTCTTGATCCCCAGTTTCCCTGATCCTTTGCCTTTCGTGATCTTCGTTGCCCAGTAAAGAATGGTGCGCTTTGGCTCATCCAAAGAAAAGGATAAGCTTACGTCGCTCAGCCAAGTTGCCTGGACCAATGCAACTTAGGCATGAGGAGGAATCTAGTCAGAGTCCATGGATGATGACGAAGATACGCATTGTCAGACCGCGGCTGGTTGAAAATGAGACAACGCCGCCGTTCCCCAAGAGTCGTAACGTAAGCCATTCCGAAGGCAGATTGGATAGGTTCTGACGTTGAAAAATTAGAAATTAATTTGTCTGGTGTTTTGGGCTCTATCACTTTACCCACTCGAATTAAAGTTCTTTTCTCTGTCACTAAATGTAAATATTATTAGTCGCTTCTCAATTATATATTGTGACATGACCCTTTGGGCCACCACCCAAACCACTTAGGTTAGTTCCCACAATTTTTAATTTGTTTCCAACCACTCAAGTTAACAAATTAATCACTTTGGGAAGGGTCGATTTGGGTGAATTGGATCAGTGTGGCAACATGTTTGTGATTCTGCTTTTCGTCTCTCCTAGTTTATTGATGTTTAACCTCAATTGTTAGGCAAATACGTGGATTGGTTGTCTCTTTGTTTGGAGTCAATCTATTTATTGATATCGGATAAGATCAAAAGTCCCATAGTTTTTCTCCATACGTTTGGAAGGTTTTTCACATTAATCTTGAGAGATTATTCTTTATTTTTTATTTAGTTACTACATATTTTGTTATATTGTTGTCTTAGTTTGACAAGAAAAAAGGGTGTTGTACTAATATTTTCTTTATATAATAAATGTGATTTATGCAAACTCTTAGTAGCATGACTAAGGACATTTGTGCAATTGCTTTTCCTGTTAACAAGGGTGCAAGATTTATGTAAATTAATTACATTCCTAAGTAAATTCTAATTTAAATTTTGAAAACCAGCACATATAAAATAGGTTTTATGTTCTAGTGACCTTGCATCCCCCTTTCTCCTGTTCCTCTTTTTCTTTATTTCATATTTTATTATAAAAAATATTAGTTTTATCTTATAATAAGATAAAAAGAATAAGGTGAGTCTTAAATATTGAATTTTCATCAATAAGTTGCAAAAAAAAAAAATCGAAAAGTCAAGGATTATAACTTTGAGCCTTGACATTATAATTCTAAAAAAAATCTTGAAGTGTTAGTTTAACAACTCTATTAATCTTTTGGACTTCATAAAATGTATTTTATGATGCAAAGTCGGTTTCAATCTCCAACCCTGATCAATTGAGTTGCATCCTCCTAAAAGCTATAAATTACACAAAAATTGAAATTCAATCCTCAAAAATTAACCCAAAATTTGATATAAATCTTACCCTAGAATGTGTTTTGTGATACAAATTTTGAATTATTTATATAACTTATATTACAAAATATAAAGAGGAAGATTTTAATACTTCAATTTAGAAAACAAAAATTGAGGAGTAGTTGAACTTATTTCAATAAATAAAAAAATAAAAAAGTTTGTGTTTGTATATATTAATAATTCCTAATAGCCCTTCTTCTTTGAGGGGTTGGTTGTTTGGTTTACCAATTTATTTCAAAAAAAAATAAAATAATAAATAATAAAAAAATTTATTGCTGAGGTTAGTTTAGGTATTCTCACTTCCTCCTTAGGCATGGTTCATGTGAGTTTAATGGTGGGCTTCTCATCCTAAGTTGGAGATGATATCTCTTGGGACCTGTTTGGCCTTACAGCCAAATCTAGCCCGTCCGTGCTCATTTTAGTTGGTCTCTTGATCGTTAGGGTTTAGTTAGATTTTTAAAAAAATTAAAAATATAATTTTTTAAAATTCATTAAAAGATGTAAAAAAATATTTTATTTTACTTTTTTTGACATTTATTTTATTTAAATTTATTTTTTAAATTAAACGAGCTGTTAATATACATGTAAATACTCCATGGATACCATCTTTAAAGGATCAGCTTGTCTTAACAGTAAACCGATTGTTTAAAAAAAAAAATTGAATTACTTGATGTAAAGCTATAAAAGAAAATCCTAATTTGCAGTGTGGTTGCTGGCAGCTAGGCTGCTAATCAGATGGGCCAATATAACAGACTCCGAGCCCAGGCCCAGTAATTCGGTGCAGCCCTTTGCCTGCTTGCTGCGACCCGTCTCCAGTGATTTGATTTGGCCGGTGAGGTCTCCATCTCAGTCTCTCCAACTAGCAAAACCTAAAACCTCTCCCAGTGTAATTGGTGGCTCGCTTCTGAAATTTTGGGTGTTAAACCCATTTTCTTTTTTTGTTTTTTCGCCGTCTTCAATCCTTTGAGCAATACAACTTGATATACAAAAAGTAGTCGGAGAGTAAGAAGCTGATTGATCCGAGATGCAGCACGACGAGGTTATATGGCAAGTTATCAGGCACAACCATTGCAGTTTCATGGCGAAGTAAGTTTCATCAGCTCTAGTTCTTCTTTGTTCTGATTCGGATTCGGTACCTGTTTGACTGGATTTTGATTTTAATGTGTTTGTGCGTGTCTTTCTTTTTTCATTTTTTTGGTTCCTGTTTATGTAACAGAATAACAACGGGGAATTTCTGTCGAAACCCTTATAACGTGACTGGAATTTGTAATCGGAGCTCTTGCCCTCTAGCTAACAGTCGTTACGCCACCATTCGCGATCATGACGGTATTGGTTTCTCACCTGTCCTCCCTATTTGAATTGCTTGTCTGGCCGTTTTGCGGGTTTAAGCTGCTTGTTTGTTTCGAGTTTTATATGAGAAGTGTGATCCTCAGAGTTTCAAATGTTAGTCGTCTGGCTGTGGTGTCTGTATTGTTTCGGAGAATGAAATAGAATAGTGGTTTGGGATGGTTGGAAAGGCTTTTTTTTTTTTTTGGTTAAAAATGAATACAAAAACGGTGAGAAGAAATTTTATTCCGACAAATTTTGTACATTTGGATTGAAGTTGCCATATTTTGAAATTTAAGCAACAAAAATTTTCTTCTTGTCAGTTCATGCAATTTTGAAGATATGGTTAATGGAAACCAATAAATGTATACGTTATAAGACAAGCTCTTACAAAGTGATCTCAACATTATCTCTAGAGAAGGAAGTGAGTGGTATACTGTAGTGTGGTTTATATTTTGACTTCTCTTGCTCTAGTTGTTCTTTGTATTAAGCAGAAACTTAGTGAAAATGGATTATGAAATGTATCAGTTCTAACGAAATGTGATAGAAGATAATTCTACTCTTTGGTTGTGTGGACTGAGAAAGGGTTTACTCATAGCGTCTGGTATCTGCAATTCCCAGACCAGCACATGCTGCTAGATAAAATTTCTTTTGAACCTCGGGGAGTGGAGGGGAGGGGTGGGTTGTTTCAAAACCTTTTTGCAATTAAATTTCTCCTGCAGCATCTTCATGTTATATAGAAGGTGATATATTATTAGTGCATTTTTTCTTTTTGGAAAAAATATTATTTTTTTGCTTAAATAACTTGTCTGTCCATTGTGCAAGGCTCTTATCATTCAATAACATGCAAAATGGGTGAAAATTTAGTGTATTTGTTTAAGGACAATAAACTGCATATCTAATTCCATGGTGTAGCCATTGAATGTGTGGAGAGCTGAATAGATATCTAATTACCAAGTAATTAATCTGTATGTTCTGCAGGAATCTTCTACTTGTATATGAAAACTATAGAAAGGGCTCACATGCCAAACAAATTGTGGGAAAGGGTTAAGCTGCCGAGAAATTATGAGAAGGCTCTTGAAATTATTGACAAGCATATGGTATTGAATACCTTGCTTATTCTAGCATTTGTACAGGCTTTTTGAGTCATCTTGTGAATTTTCAAGGCTGAACGTGTTATATTATGACAGATGTATTGGCCTAAGTTGCTTGTACACAAAACAAAACAACGATTGACCAAAATGACTCAAATGCGGATACGTATGAGGAAACTAGCTCTAAAAACAAGGTTAGCTACCTCCCTTACTTTCACTATCTCATCTCAATATCTGAAAGTAGAGAATCATGCTTACGGCATACTGGGTTTGTATTTATAGTTATTTTAGAACATTGTTCAAATTAGCCACTTCTATTATTGATGATAGTTCAACAAACAAATTGTATATTTGCAGATTCTGATATTTCGTCCATTAGATATGCAAAATTTTATGTCTGCTACATGAAACATAACTTTAATATAGAAGTTAACATTTAGCTGTTGTCATTGTTGGGTTTGAGATAATAGTAACTAGGGTGTCAGGTTTTCTTCTTGACGAAAAGATGATTGGTTCCATTGCAATCTACAGAAATTTAGTCCATTACTCAACAAAATGCACTCAGATTTTTCATTTGTTATGTTCTTTGGATCTGTTGTACCAAACAGTTGTGTTTTTTTTTTTTTCACCAATCTGATCTTCCTCTAAAAAAATTATTGTATGACTGGTTTCAGAAGTTTGACGTTTAACGCTTGCATTTGGAAGCTAAGTAATTGAGAAATTATACAGTTTTTAGTGCTAAAATGCTTTTAGCTTAGATAGTGGTTTCAAAAGTTTAATGTTCGTCACTTATGGAAGCAGAGAATTGAGAAACTATCCATTTTCTGGTGAGATCATGTTTATTACAGATAGTGGTGTCAATGGACAAATGGCTTGTATGTGGATATGCCTAATTGGGACATGTAAATGCAAAGTTATTTATGGTGTATAGCGCACCATTGCGCAAAGGGTCCATAGCGACAATAGAGTATTGCGAATAGTGTTGCACATGGCACACACATTATATAATAACAATATATAACAATAATATATAAGAAAAACATTCTCAATGAGCATAAAAGGCTTAATTCGTACTCAAAAATACAAATCATCCAACAATCATCTAAATATGTCAAACATGAAATGTCATATCAAACAAAGTCAAACATAAATTTGCACATCAAAAGAAAGTGTGAAGCATAAAAGTATGATCAAACAAAGTCTAGAACATAAAAGAGATTATCTAAGACTCATCCTCCTCTTCCACAGCAAGGGCTCTATTGTCACCACCACAAAAATGATTGTCTTCCAATCCCTCACAATCCTCCTCACCTTCACTCCCTAAACTAGCTCTCTCCTCTTAATCATCAAGATTAAGAGTTGGGGTTGGAGATGGAGTTATGGTGGTAGATCGTCTAACAGGATGGGTAGGCTCATCAACTCTTGAAGCTCTAGCAACAAAACTCCAAGTTAAATTGTCATCTTTATCAAATACACAATCATCTTCCTCATTGAAATCTTCATCCATTCTTCCAAGCAACAACTTGTTGCTATCATCAATTTCTTTCAATGAGATTGGATCAATTTGGTTATGAATGCTATATCTTTGCCTCCATGCCCTATTTTATTGATGAACACTAAATCATTTAACTTTGTTGTGCCTATTCTTGCTTTTGGCTTGAAGCTGCAAAATCAATAAATAATTATTAACATAAAGATTCATAATGTGGTTAGTTAATAAGAGAAGATTAACTTTTAGTTTAAACTTCATAGTCATTTATATTTTCAAATACACTCTAATTTCTTTTACAACCAGATGCATTGCAATGAGACCAAGAACTTTATAGCAAAAACTTGCAAATTAGGAGCACTTGAACCATATAATGATGAGCACTTAGCTGGTGCTTTTGTTGCTCTAGCACGTATAACTAGTTCAACCCCAAAAGACCTTCAGCATTCTTGTACATGCTGAGTTCTTTTGAAATTTTATCTTGAATGCTAGTATCAGGAACCAATCTTTAGATACATAGCATCAAACCCATATGGACTTCCTTAATGTTTTCAATGTTGGGATTTGTAGGGAAGAACTCTAGATTCAAGTAGTACCCAAGAACATGCAATGGATTATGCAACTGTACTTCCTATTTGCTATCAATAATTTTGAATGCTTCCTGATACTTTTTCTCATTCTCATTGAAAGTCTTAGCAATCGCTTTCTTGGCTCTATCCATAGTCTCATAAATGTATCCCATTTGAGGTTTCTTCTCACCATCAACAAGACTAAGCACATTGATCAATGGACTAGCCAACATAAGAACATATACAACATTTATCCAAAATGTATCACTAATCATAGTTTGAGCTGCCTTCTTGCCTTGTGGATCATTTGCCCACTTAATCCTTGTCCAATCTCCAAAAGTGAACATTCTTTTGAAGTAAAGTTTTTGTTGATAAATACTAGAGAGCATTATGAATGCAGCTGCAAATCTAGTCTTTGCAGGTGAAATTAGCTTGCTTTGCTTGGTAAAGCGCTTCATCATGTTTAATTCACCCATATGATTGTAAGTAAAGTCACTCAATGCCTTTGCCTTCATCGTCATATTGAGAGTTGGGATTTTCTAAATATCTTCTAACATCAAATTTATACAACGAGCAACATAGGGAGTCTAGTACAAGTGTGGATAGGTTGCCTCTTGTAATTTCCCTGTAAGAAGTATATGAACATACATATATACACAAGTAAATATCTAGATTCCTATAAGACTACAAATGAGAAAGTATCTAGATTTCCATAAACTACAAAACTAAAGGTTAAGGAAATGTGAAACACTTACTAGCATAAACATTGTTTGAAGCATTATAGGTCAAAACTTGAACAATATTGGCCAGTCTAATCTTTTGCATGAACTTATCAAGCAATTCAAACATGTTTTGCCTTCACAAAGTCAGAGGCATTCAAGGACTCAATGAAAACAGTGCCCTTTGGGCTATTGACCAAGAAATTGATCAATATTTTCTCTTGTCTATCTTTCTAATCATTTGCCGTAATAGACGTCCAACTTTTGCCCATTGGTTCTTGTATGTCTTCATCATGTTAGTAGTGCGACCTATTTCCTTTTGAAGAGGTGGAATCCTCGCCTCATCATATGAAGGCTTCTCACACTAGGACCAAATTGTCCAATGGCCTCAATCATGACTTGAAAACTATCGTAATTAACAACATTGGAAGCAATTCCGGTATCATGCATCCATCTTGCAATTGTTTGGCATGCTTTGTCCTTTGCTTTCTTCTTGTGACGCTCATTTATAGGGGTTTTTCTTTCCTTCCAAATTTTTTCACTTCTGCACCACCATCTATGGATCAGGGGTAAAATAAGCAACCATTGGCCCTTTTTGCCTTGGCTTTTTTGGCAAGGTTGCTCTACTAATTCCTTGCGTAGAAGTAGCCCTCTTCTTCATTGACTTCGCAGCTGGTAATTGAGCTATGTCATTTCTGTCTCATCTTCCATTAAATCATAATTCTATTAGTTAAGAGTAGAAGGCAGGCACTAACACTCTATGAGATTTAAATTCATCCTTTCGCACCATATATTGCCTAATTTTCTCTCAACAGTTTTATGGCATGACTCTCGTACTGTAATGTTTCTATTTCTTCCAACAAAATGATGTTTGGCTCTAATGATATCACTTGCCACAAAAATTACATGTAACTTTGTTTGCTTGCTTGGGATCAACTTTCTTGCAATGCTTCCATGTTGGATTACCACTACTCTTACTAGTACTCATTTTAGATTCTAATGCAATGCTGAAACAGAGAGCTGAAGTATGGCTGAATAGTGTCTTCTGTTCTGTTTTATATAATGGAGCTGAAGTATAGTAGTAGTATGTTATGTTCTCGGGTTACGGATCAAGTTACACGGTGATGTGCAGGAAAATCTGCTTCAAGAGATACAGTCTTTCCCTTGTTACGATTATTGTCTCGTGAAGAACCTATGATTATATATGTATATATAGAACTTGTTAAAGGGAGCTCTTAACCTTAGACTTGCTAGGTAGAGAGAGCCTTAAACCTCCATAAATTCGAATGAAATTCTATTTGCTTTATTCTCTTCTAATTTTTCTCTTAAATAGAGATCACAAAGGAAATTATTCTTGCAAAAAGAGAAAAACTAAAAATTAAGGACTTAAATTGCAACGAAAATACTTGCTAAAATAAACTCTTCTAATTAGGATAAAAATATTATTTGTCTTCCTTCCCATTTTTGGTGCTGTTGACTTCCTTATATTGTGATCCACGCCTCCCGTATGTCTTGCCCACAAATGCATCCGTAACATTACTCCCCTCTTGGAGAAGGAGCTTGTCCTCAAGCTTGAAAGTTGGATATTTCAGGTTTCCTACATTTGTCTTGGTTTTGCACAATATCATCGTGATCCTCTATCTCTAGCCAAAATAATTTTTTACATTGGTGTCCGGATGAATGTTGTTCATCACAATTGTAGCAGCGTCCCTTAGCTCTTCATTTTGCCATCTCCGCATGAGTCAACTTCTTGACAAACAGAGAGGTTGCACTACTTAAACTCGAACTTGCCCCCATCACCCTGTCTTGCTTGAAGCTAATTTTAAGAGTAGGAGAGGAAACTGTGGCTGTCGTGTTGATGCCTTTAGTGTTCCAGCCTATGTTTTGCCAAGGCCCTCCTCGCATGTCTGCCACTCTTTTTAGCTGTTGCTTCTTCTCAAAGGCTCGTGCTAAATTCATTGCTTGAACAAGGTTTGCAAGTTTTTGCATTTCCAAATCAAGCCTAATTGAGTTCATTAAACTTGCAGTAAACAAGTCTACCTGCTAATCCATTTGCACTGTATAAGCACGCACCAACAACCCTTGAAATTAAGCACTGAGAATCCTCAACTGTTTTGGTCTGGTACAAATTAACCCATTCACCTCATGGATTGTTGCCTAATGGTGGGCCAAATCTCGAAGTGCAATATTCATAGAATGCCTTCCAAGTGAGATTCGGTTACTCTTGCTCCATCTAATAACACCATAATTGCATCTCACCCAACATGTGAAAAGCAGCCAAACTAATCTTGTCTATTTTAGAAGTTCACTGATGGAAAAAGAATTTCTTGCATCGGTGTAACCATATTAGTGGATCCTCTGACCTATTATAGGTTGGAAAATCAAGTTTTGTGTACCATGGCACTACTTCAGATGTTGCTCATAGTTCAGAATTAGTCTTTGTGTACTGTGGAACCACTTCAAACTCTACCTGCAGTTTTGATTGATTGTTAGTTTTGTAATTGTGGTTTTCCATAATTGTTATTACTACTTGTACGCCCATCTGACTCCTTGCCGCTCTTTTGGTAAAGACCATTAACAAGTTCTTGCAGTTGCAGCGATAGTTACTGCAGCTGAGTTCCCAATTTAGACTCGGTTTGTGAAATTCTTGCTTCTATTCATGACTCAACTTTTGCCACTCTTACCTCGTTAATTGCCTGAGCTTCCTATGAAAGAGCCCTAAATTCTTTTGTTGCGTTGGAATTGCCCACAGTGTTCGGCTCTGATACCAAGTTGTTATGTTCTTAGGTTATGGATCGAGTCGCAAGGCTATACACATGAAAATCTGCTTCAAGGGATGCAGTATTTCCCTTGTTATGATTCTTGCCTCATGAAGAACTTATGATTATATATGTATATATAGAACTTATTCAAGGGAGCTCCTAACTGTAGACTGATTAAGTAGAGAGAGCCTTAAATCTCTATGAATTCGAATGAATTTTGCTTGCTTTATTCTCTTCCAATTATTCTCTTAAATAGAGATTACCAAGGAAATTATTCTTGCAAAAAGAGGAAAACTAAAAGTAAGGAATCACATCAAGGACTTAAGTTGCAATGAAAATACTTGCTAAAATAAACTCTTCTAATTAGGATAAAAATATTATTTATCTTCCTTCCCATTTTTGGCGCCATTGACTTTCTTATTTTGTGATCCACACCTTCCTTATGTCTTGCCCACAAATGCATCCGTAACATAGTATTGCTCTTACTTGTTTCATAATAGTTAAAACAACTAATAGTCAACTGACTCACCTTGAGAGAAGCTGAATCATGACAGAGAGCAGGCTTAATCACTAGAAGGGATTCTGATATGCTTGTGATGCTTGACAAAGAGCAAAGGAGAGAGGAGAGGGCTCTTGCAACTTAGAGAAGGGATACTGATACTCTTGTGATGCTTGATAGAGAGAATAGGAGAAGTTGAGGCTCTTGCAATGCTTGACAGAGAGGGGTCTCAGGCTCGATGGGTTATCGCGATGCTCGACAAAGAGGGAAGCGACTCATGATAGGGATTCTTGGGCTTGACGGGGTGTTGTGATGCTTGACAAAGAGGATGTGGCTCAATTGCGTGGCTTGACAAACTCTTGAGGCTCGATTGCAAGGCTCAACAGAGAATAAGAGGGCTTGATCGAGAGGATATGGCTGGACGCGAGTCATACAAGGATTTAGGTATACTTTTGGGCTTAAAATTGCCTTTAACATTGTAGCACATGTAGTGCGCTGTAGCCTGTAGACTCTATGTGTTGCTAAGCAGAGGTCAGTATGCTATAGCGATCACTATTTCACAATAGTGATTGCTATAGAATGCTATTAACAACTATGCTTGGGATTCATTTGAAGGAAGAGAATAACTGTTATCTGGATAATCTTGCTAGTGAATAGTTATTTCAGGATCAATGTGAGAGCGTTTTATTGTTTTTTTTTTTTTCTTTAATTGTTGAGTCCTCCATGTGTTAAGAGGAGGTACCTTTAGCCTTATGATTAGGTGAGGCAGGGTGGCATGTAGCTTTACCTGATTGGACTGCTGCCAAATCCTGACGAATGTGGCTCCAATATTTTTTTGAACTAACCACTCTGACTTGGCAGGGCATCTTTAAAGAGGCAGGATGGTTCACTTGAGGTGACATGATAAGTATAGAGTTTGCCAACAATCTGTTGATGTCTGATAAATAGGAGTTGAAATCCCTACGTGGGATGAAAATTGAAAGGCACCATCTTGACCAAGATCCAAAGTGAAGGTTGGAGCTGTGAGTCACTTGGACACACATGGCCAAAGTTCACTTACGTGCTTAACCTAAGCAAATGGGGAAGATTTACTTGAATTTCTTGAATTATGGAAAATTTTGATATTTTTGGAGGCATGTCCAACCTGGTAGAAGAGAAGGCAAGGTTTTTATAAGAGGGGTCCATCAAAGATGAGATAACTTGTTTCTAGGACTAGGAGGCATGATTGAAGTTAGGCACTTTCCAAAATTGCTCCTTGATGCTAGGGCCTAGAGATAGACCCTTTTAATCTTGCTATATGAGTGCAGTTTTGAGTTTGTCATGGCTATCAATTAAGGAAATTGAGATGAACTTGGTCACTCTACAAGAGGTTAGTGATGTCAGTAGGGATGGGAAATGAAAATTTGATACCCATGGAAACCCATTGTTACGATCCGAACTCGGGGAACTTGATCAGCACAAGGGATGGACCAGCCAACCGTAGTAAGCCTAATTGAACGTACAATTCTACAGAAATTTTGGCAGGTCTCCAAAAATCAGGCTTTCCAGAATCATATCAACTTGCTTAACTCAGCACAATAACATTTAACAACTGTCCCCAGGTAGAAATATATATTAATCCAACATAAGCATCTATTATCAATTAACTACAGCATCTAAACAATGTCTAGCCAAGACATCCATTCACATGTCCTATCAAAATCCAACAAAACACAACAAAAGTCTTCCTTCTTTCACAACAGTCCCCAAGTTCTTTTTGGGGGGGGGGGGGGGTAGGGATAGAGGTATTCTTTTCAAACTTAGCACATTTAAGTGCACCCCTGTATCCCCAATTTTCAGTAATAAACTGCTCTTTTTCTTTAACCCAATCGTTTGATGTACATAAATCCACTTTGACCTAATATATTGATATATATCTTGTAATATTAGATTCTTTTACTAACGGAGTATTACATTAATACCCATTAGTTGGATGTTGAATGAATCTTTGAACTATTAACTATTTAATTTGTGTGTTTTAGATGTGAAAATATTATTGGTAATCATATGATTTAGTGAATGGTGATTGGTGAAATTCTAAGTTGCAATTACTAAAGATTTAATATGTACGATTTTTTATAATAAATATAGAATCTTGGTTTTTCCTGCTACATTATGTCTTGTTTGAGGATGGAGATTAATCAGGGTCTCCATTTGGATAAGGAGGCAGGGATGTAAGTGGATATTGTAAACGGAAATGGAGATTGAAATTCTTCTCTTAACATCTACTGGTGATGAGGGTAAATTAACAATGTTGTGAATTCTTGGACTTGCAAGTAGTATATCTTGTACTTGACAGAAAAGCATGTTATACTTAATTATGTACTTTTTTTTTTTTTTGGTAAGGTTGAATTTTTGTTTTAGCTTTAATACATTTCATGTCCATCTTTTCTGTTATTTTTCAGGGAAAAGATAATGACAACACCTAGGAAAGAAAAGAAGAGAGAGGCTAGGAGAGAGGAGAAGGCTGAAAAAGCAGCAGTCTTGGATAAGGTTGTATAGCCAATTTCATGTAGCCCTGTTGGGGTAATTTACATATTATGTCTCACTAATGCTGTAATTATACTGCAGAGCATTGAAAAAGAATTGCTTGAAAGACTTAAGAGAGGAGTTTATGGTGATATATATAATTATCCAGTGAAGGAATTCTATAAAGTTATTGATATGGAGGATCAGCAGGCTGCTAGTGAAGATGAAGAGGAGGTATTGCATTCTGACAATAGTCATGTGCCTGATGAAGATAATATTTGTGGTATGAAAACATTAGAAAATAGATTATTATTCTTTTTAAATTTTGAGTGAAATATGCAGGAGCCTGAGATTGAATATGTCGAAGGATATGAAGAACTTGAAGAGGAAGAAGATATAGAAGATTTTGGTGGTCTTCCAAATTGCAAATCTTACCCAGATTTTGATGGTAAAGCACTTAGGGATCTTTTGAGATCGTTAGCATATCTTTCTTCATAGAACTCTTTCATTCATTTAATCTTCTCTGATACATGCATGGCTAGGTTCTAATGTTGGGGTCCAATTACAATTTTGGTTATTTGTTTGTGGGTTATAGGCTTATAGCAAAATTGATGGTCTTAATATGGAAATGAGACGTGAGATTCTCAATGTCTAGTGTCCACTGTTTGAATCACTTTGGATGCATATTTATGTTGGATGTGGGAAGCTTCTTAAAATGCAATAAGTTGTGTTATGATATCATCACAGATGCTGTGGGAACAGATGATGAAGATGAAGAAAGCTTAGCAGTTGAGAGAAAGAGGGTGAGAAAAGACTCTCAAAGAAAACTTGAGAAAGATGAACCTGGTTCCAAGTTGAAGAAGAAAGCTAGAGTACTTGTTGAGGTAAAATTGTCTGAGCATGTTAATATTTTTTGGAAAAAAGGGATGTTTTTTGCAACAAGTTCCTTATAATGGATTGATTTGTAAAGTTGCTAAAACATTGAAATTTCTTTTGTTTTAATAAAAAATCATATTGGCGTTCTAAGTCTTCAAGCGTGGTTATATCCTGAGTTAAGGGTATATACCTGCATATTGTTCTATTTGTTTTTATGTAGGAGATTTACAAATACAAGTTTGTCTATGCTAATTCTCTTATTTATTTGTTTATTTTCTGATTTTTAGGTTGAGCATGAGGACACTGAAGAAAGACAGATGGCAGTCCAGTAAGATTCGTGCTTCTTCATGTGCTTTGAACTGCTAACTAAACAGCTGAAGCTATCTTGATAAATCAAGAGCTTTTACTTCTCTCATGACCGGCCTGAAGTGGGAACAGTTGCTTGAAGAGATGCAACATTTGGGGATGGTAATTGTAATTCAGGTTCGGATGGTATTAGACTGGCATTTTGGTCGAAGTTCTTTCTCTTTATGTTTTACCTTTTCCCATTAGTCTCTAAGTCTAGCTGTCTGGGGTTTTTCTAGGTTCCCTAGTGTAATATTTCCTCCTCCTCTTTACAGTACTCGCTCATTTATTGATAGTTTGAAGCAGCAGGAGCCAGGTAGGATGTAACATAAAATTAATTATGCACCATCTTGCCAAAACAAATATTAGATGATCTTTGGACATCGTATATGGCTTCAACTCTTCAGGTTAGATGGGGCTATTTGGGTTTTCTGGAACCTGGTTAAAAATTAAAATTGGATTTGTGGGTTCGCAATAATTTGGTGGTCTGTAATCAGGTAGCCTGGAGATTCAAACGGGTTCGGGCTGACATGTTCTAGTTGGGTCATTTAGATCTTTCGGCTGGGGTCACATATAACCCCAGCTATTTGGGTAAGGGTTAATGTAAGGGTTAGGGGTGACGTGGAATGGATATCACTAAAAATAAGAATATGACGTGATACGTCAAATTTCACGATGATGACTATTTTTGATGATATGTGTGTATAATATTTTATGACATTGTAATAATAGATTAAAATAAACCAACTTAAAAGGTTTTTTCGGATTGATTCTGATATAATTCTATGTCATTTCGTGCTTGAATTGAAATAGAGCATCGTATAAATAGAATTTGTACGAAACTGACCCGACTTGACCTAACTTGCTCCATTTAAGTACTTTGCAAGGCTTAGCAAGTTCCCCACCCCCTGGGGTCTGTATAACCCGATTCGCTCTTTATAATGACCTACAAATATAAGCAGATGGGTTATGGTACAAACCTGCTGCTCTCTCTCTCTCTCTAGGACACCCACATACATTCGCGCTCGTGCGCGCGTACTCTTGTTGGGTATAAATTTCACTCTCTAAAGCAAGTATTTGTCATAACCCGATTGAACCGACCCATGATTTCTGAGCGCACCTGGGCTCGGGTTGGGCCCATTATTTAGATCAGTGCAGAAAACCCATCAAACTCACCCCAAACTAAACTGTGTGAACCGTCCTAGGTTTACATTCTCTCCTTACCAATTGAAATAAATTTGATCGCGTGGGAAGTAATTTCTGCATAGTTAAGTTTGAATTTGAAAAGTTTTATTTGTGAAAGCAATTGTAAATTTTCTTGATACATTTTCAAAAGCTTAGATTAGAGATTGATTTTGCCTTTTAAAGCCAAAAAAGGCTTGATTTTGATATCCTAATTTTGTACCTATGCTACTTTAGTAATTGGAAAAATAAAAAATATTATGTCTGTAGTCAATTCTTTTTTATGTTTTCGTATTTGAGAATATTAAAATAATTCCTTCTGGTTAGTTTAAAGGGTCAATGTGTTTATTTTTTAAGAATTTTTTGAGTGTAAAAATGGACTAATTAGTATTATTATTTTTTTGTAATTGACACAATTAACTAAAGGGTGATTTGTTGACAAATTAAATAATTTTTAATAAATATTTTTAAAAATTTTGAATTTGGGCCAAACCAAACACCCAATAAATTGAGTTATGAGGTTAATAAATTATAGATATAAGAACACACACACAAAGAAATCTTTATGAAATGAAATTCCCCTTCCATTCCCAAAAAAAAAAAAAAAAAAAATGAAAATCATCTGGAATTTTCTTATCACGTTAACCTCCAGTTGAGCAATGAAACCCAAATCACTCCATGACATGCATGTTCCAGTTCAGCGACCTTTTCACAAGCCGTTGGATTTCCAATCATCCACGTGGCCAGCCGTGATTCAACGATGGATTCGGAAAATTCGTTGGCGCTCTTCAAAAGCGCAAATGAAAACGAACGGAGCATCTGAGCGATCTAACACCGTCAATCTCCATCTCCTCCCGAGCATCCTCTGCCGCCGGCGATTAATCCCGGCGGCGAGCCGCCGATGTTGCGAGTGTATTCTTGGAAAGGAGGTGGTAGATCTTCATGCAGTCTTTGAATTTGAGTCTCTGATTCACCAGAGGTAGCGCAGGTGGATATCCAAGGAAAATGAACGAAATATACGAGATGAAGCAGATGGTGGACGCAGGGGAGGAGATTTTGGGGCCGGTCTATAGCTTCGGTTCAGGGGGATTTGAGGATGATTCTGAAGAGGAGTTCGAGAGGGTTGATTTAGACGACGATGAGAACGAAGTGAAAGGAAAAATTCTCAAGATACTGCGACAGGGATCAATGGGGAAGGAATCCGGAAAGTCGAGCTTTCCATGTGTCGATTGCGCTATGTGCCGGAAGAATTTTCAAAGCTACGTGGATTATCCATTCTCGACCTCTCCCGCAATCAATTAGAGGTGAGCATCATGAAATTAGCTACAGTTTTATGTGGTGTATAAAATGCGCTTGGCTTGATGCGTTTTTGTTGGAGCAACATTTTGGTAAAGACTTCCTGTATAGGATTGTTTGGCCTGCCAGGATCTCGAGTGGCTAACCGTCCACTCAATCTGGTCTTTGTTCCTTGATAGGCATGTCTCTCTCGAGGTTAAGTAATGCTTTAAAAAAAAGCATATCCAATTTGCTAGAAGCTAGGGAAACGAAAAGAAAGAAGGAATGTCGTGATGATTGGGCAATGGAAACTAAGTTCTGAATGAAGAGAGATTCTGGGAAACTAATTTTAAGATGAATGAGGAATTCGTCGTTGACCATATTCAAAGAAATTCTTGCAAGCAAAAATCGAGATTTTAGCATGTGAAATGGAACTCGACCACAACATATTTACATGTTATCAAGTTCAAACGAGGCGAAGTTGCATTAAGCTTGACCGATGAAGGGCTAAAATTGGAAGAAATTGTAAAACCCGACACTGGAAAACCTATGGCTGCCAATCGTACAATTGAATATTTCTGGAAGTTCACTGAACCTTCTAGAATTTCTCAGAGAATTGTCGAATATTTGTCGAACGTTCCTGAGAGAATTCTTTTGTTCTTTGTTATGTCCTTTACGTCTTGACGTGATTCTTCTCTTCTTCATATTTGATGCAAGGCATTTGCTGACACCGGTTTATATGCATTAGAATGATATCGTAAGTGTATGGCTTCATGCGTCTTATTCTAGTTTGCGACTGCATCTTATAATAGGGTTCTTTGGCTGGTCTAGTGTAAATCTTCATCAACAAGTTTAGCTTTTTCTTGTTGATATAATATTTGAAACCTAGCAAAACATGTCATCTTATACCATTATGATCCACCCCCTTTTAAATTCCAACTGCATGTATTTGTTGATTGAACTTGCTGAAAATTCAACTGTGTTTTAAATTTCTTACAACATTAGTTGAAATTTTATCTCTGATATAAGTATACTAGCTATACGTATACCGTGAACATTCAGCTGGGTTATGCGAGAATAATATCTTATGGCTCAACAATCTGAAGCAACTTTTGCAGAATCTGAGAAATTTGAGGAAATCAGCATAACAACATGGTTTTACTTGTCAGAAATGATGCAATTGTTATATTATTCTCTAGCTTTTCAACAGTGGGGAGTTTTAAAGTTGTTTCTGACAAGTTGTGTACGGGAAACAGATCATACCCGATTCGCTTGCAGGCCTAAGGACACTAGAGGAGCTCAATGTTTCCTCTAACATTTTGAAGTCCTTGCCAAACTCTATTGGATTGATGGTCAATTTGAAGATCCTAAACCTGTCGGGCAATATGCTTAATACTCTTCCTGAAGCCGTCATTCACTGCAGGTAAATCTGTTTCTTCGAATTCCATTTTTTTTTCCGACATCCATATATGTTAATCTGATTTTTCTTGAACCTAATATTGGTTTCTACACTATTCCAGATCACTAGAGGAGCTGGATGTAAGCTTTAACAACCTAACACATCTGCCTGTAAATATTGGTCATGGACTGGTGAATCTCAGAAAGCTTTCAATTCAACTGAATAAGATCCGGGTCTTACCATCTTCGATCTGTGACATGTGGTCGTTGACCTATTTGGATGCTCGCATGAATAAGCTTTCAGGCCTTCCATATGCATTTGGAAAATTGCCAAATCTTGAGGTCTTGAACCTGAGTGCTAATTTTAGAGATTTCACTGCGCTTCCAGAAACATTTGGCAACCTACCTAACCTCAAGGATCTGGATCTAAGCAACAACCAGATCCGAGCCCTTCCCGAGAATTTTGGTTGTCTGGAAAGCCTAAGAAATCTCAATTTGGATCAGAACCCTATTGTAATTCCTCCAAAGGAAGTTGTAAGTAAAGGAGCTGAGGCTGTGAAGAAGTTCATGATGATCGTGCTCAAGAAATATGCGCAGGCTGCGTCTTTGAAGGACTTGAAGTTGACGGCATGCATTGGTGGACGACGCCGCTAACCACAAGGATCTCGATCTCTGCAACAACCAAACCGAGCACTTCCGCCCCTGTTGGTTGGCTTGAAAACTTAACCAAACTTAATTTGGTTCAGAAATTCAATTGCAATTCCCACAAATGTTGTGGATAATAGTGAAGGACTTCATGCTGAAGAGTTGGATCAACAAAGCCTGTGCAGGCAACCCGAGCAGTTCTTTTCTTTCTTCTTCTTCTTCTTCTTCTTTTTTTTTGGGGGGGGGGGGGGGGGGGGGGGAGGGGTGTGGAAATTCGGTTTGGATTGATTTCCCAATAATAAAAAACTGAGGCCCTAGTTTAAAGAAAAATTTGAACTGAAAACCAAAACAAACCTAGCCAAACAAATTTATAATCTTAAAATTTTAACTTTTGTTTATATTATAATTAAGATGATAATATTTTTATGTAATTCATATGGAACTAACATATTTAACATATAAAAATTTGGTTTTCTGTTAAATTTTCGGTTAAGTTTTGGTTTATTTTTCAAATCACGGAACTTTGACCCAAACCCAAAACGAGACAAGCCAAACTGTTTGGACCCGATGAACAAAAGAAACCAAGGAGCATGCTCGAGGAAAATGCCCGTTATCAAAACTGGGTGGTGGGCTTCTGCCACCTTTGCATTGAGCAACCTCGTCTGCGTGTCTGGCGGAAGGAGGGAAAGCTTCAATTGTACCATATTTGAAACGACAGTCATATCCGCATGTCCTGGAACTTCTATGTTTTGTCATGAAGCATATGTAGTAGAAGATCCTTGTACTTGGTTGTCGAATCATGAATGAAAAACGTTTGACACGTTGAACACAAACTAGTTGACAGGTGATACCATTGATGGCCAAACGCAACTCTCCCCGTGACAGTCTTGTTACCTTCTCGATCAAGTAGGATTTTTTTTTTTTTTTTTTGGGTAAAAGAATTAGAACATTTCTAACTTTAGACTTTTAAACCAAAAAATTATAAGTTGAGAAGTCAAAATATTCTAAATTTTAAATTTCAAACAACCCACAATCTTCTTCTTCTTCTTCTTCTTCTTCTTCTTCTTTTTTTTTTTTTTTCCTTTTTCTCCTTGAACAAAATGGCAATTTGATTGGTTAGTTTGAAAATTATTTGGAAAAAATTACAAAACTTGAGAAAAATAATTACCCGGAGGATGAGAGTATAGAATAATGATTCAAAATATTTTTTAAAAAAATTTACCTTGAAAGATATTTAACCTTCCAAAATACCCCCACCACACCTTGCGAACCTCCGCACCTTTGTTGCACCCGCAAACCCCCCTTCCTCCTTTAGCCACTGCAAGCCTGCAACTCACCCCTAGGCACTAACCTTTCTGCCCCTCCCCCACCGCAAACCCGAGTGTTCCTCCGTTGCAAACCGCAAATCCTGCATCTTCCTCACAAGCTAGATCTCTTCTGGTTGATTCCCTGTGCAACTCGAATCTTCCCTCCCAGTCAATCCTCCCACGAAAACCTAGATCCTTCCTCCCTAATCAGTGTCCCTACAACCTAGATCTCGTTGCTGAATTATTTACTATGTATTCTATATAAACTAGTATAGTTTCAAACAATAAGGCTAGTTATGAGTACCATATTATAAAATTATAAGTATAAATTTGTATAATTACAAACATTATTTTATAAACATTAATGTGATTTTTTTTTATATGTATATGTTTGCTACTATGTTTGTTGAACTACTATCTCAATATGAAATTGTTGTACATTGTATGTTAAATATATTATCATCATTATTAGTAAGATTTTAAGAAAACAAAGTGAGTTATAAGTATCTTTTTATTTAATTACGAGCACCATTCTATAAAATTATAAACACAATTCTATATAATTATACGCATTATTTTGTAAATAATAATATATTTGTTTCTGTTATATATACATGTTTGCTCCTATATTTATTAGATTGTTGTCCTAAAATGAATTATCTCACTCTTGCAACTATCATCCAGATTCTTATTTCACAAAAAGAGAATTTTTTTTTTAATTATACATCTCATTAATTTGCTTAGAAATTGTAATTTACTCTCCTTTTTTGTCTTTGGATAAAGAATTCCAAGTAAACCTAAGTCTATTAAGTAATTTTATTTTATTTTATTTTTTGAGATGTATTTGCTCCTATACTTATCATAACTTCACATTGACGAAGCAATTCAACAAGTATAGCTGTAAATAAATACATATGAAAGAAACAAAACATGTACATTTATAGAATGCTACTTGTAATTATACAGAATAATACTGATAATTTTACAAAATGGTACTTATAACTAAGTAAGAAGATACTTGTAACTCACCTTGATGCTTGCAACTCACCTTATTGCTTGAAACCATGCTAATAACGGTGACAATACCATAATTTTATATTGAAATAGTAGTTTAACAAATATAGGAGCAAACATAAACATATAAAAGAAATAAATACATTATTGTTTACAAAATTATACTTGTAATAAACTATATAAAATTGTGCTTACAATTTTACATGATAATACTCATAACTAAGTAAAGATGCTTGTAACTTATATTGTTACTTGAAACTGTGCTAGTTTACATAAAACATATAGTAAATAGTCAAACAATGAGATCTAGATTGCAAGGCTGGCTAAGGAAGGAAGATCTAGGTTGTGTGGGTTGGGGGGGGGGGGGGGGGGTGTTCAACGAGAGGTGTCTTGTTTGCAAGGGAGGGGCGGCGTTTGGGGGTTGAGGGGAGGGACCCCCAGGGTTTGTAGGTGGGGGAGGGGTGGCAGGGGTTAGCGTTGAGGGTGGATTGAAGGCTTGCAGGTGGCTGGAGGGAGGGGGTTGCAAGCATGGCAAGTGATGGGTTCGGAGGGGTGGGAATGAGGGTATTTTAGAAAGTTAAATACCTTTGAGGGTAAATAATCTCTTTTTAAACTTGTTGGATTATCATTCTGTGTTCTAACTCTTCGACTAATTATTTTTTTCAAACTGACTGAGTTAATAATTTTTTCAATTATTTCTGAGAAAACTTTTAAAAACTGGTCCATCTAAAAAAAATAAAGAGAAAGAAGTTTCTAGAAATTAGATCTGACTACCATAGAAAGACAAATGCTACATAAGACGGAAAGACGGAACAAACAAACGAACGAAACAGAAAGGCCTACCCACGTGAAAACGAGTAAAATTACGTACTTTTCTTTCCTCAAATAAAAGTCAACTTTTGTTCTACTTTGTCTCAAATTCCCAATTACCTGTATAAATCTTTTCTTTAATACATATTACCGAGGGACTCTGTTTATGAGTTACGTGTGGTAATAGTGGAAATATCTCTAGAGATACAACGAGCATCTTCAAAAATCTCAAAACTTTAAAGGAGAGAAAAGTAAGGATTGTGCACTAGTTGAGAAAACAAATAATTTGTCCATAAAATTGGTTGTTAACTTGTCATATTTTAACCTAAATTCTATTTAAATTTTAGAATTTAAATTTGAGTCAAATATGATTATTAGTATATATAATTTGAAATAAGTAAATTAGAGATAAAATTAAATAATCTGATTTATTAAAAATCTAAACCCTAATTTTAATAATATATTTTTATTAAAATAATAATCTTATATATATAGTATTTATAAATTCAAACTTATAAAACTAAATTAAAAAATAAAAAAATTCAGAAACTAATATGATTGACATACTAGAATTGAAAGGCTTAAGTATAAAAATTATTATTTTTTGATTTATCATATTTTCTTATTAAATTTTACATTATATATTAAATTTAGAATTGATTAACATATACATATTTTATAGTATTTGAGATCAAATTCGGATATATAAATAAGTAATCAGGTTCATATTTAAATTTGTCTAATTAAAAAAATATTATATCAATAATTAAACACATCGATTCCTTTATATTATAAAATTTATATTAAAAATTATCTAACTATTTTATATCTTTATTTCAATTGAGTGACTAATTTGCATATTACAACCAAAAATAAGAATTTTTGTCACTTCACACCTTAAAATTATAATTTTGGCATTTAACACCCAATGTTATTAAATATGCAACATCACTATAAAATTAACGGGGTAAAATTAAAAGTTTGTATCTTTGAATGATAAAAAGACAAAATAATTTAAATTCCACTTTTTTCTATTATCACTCTATTCAACATTCTTAAGGCTTTTTTTTTTAATTATTTCACTCATTTTTCCAAAAATTAATTAATAAATTCTAACCTAAATATGTTAAATCTATTTTATTTTTTAGGTAAATATAATTTATGAAATTATATTTTTTAAATAATTTATTTTCTTTTAAATATAAATTGTTTAATTTTATTAGAGAACAAGAGAAAAATTTTAAATTTAAGATTACATAATTAAATAGTTAAATTCTAACTTATTTTGATTATTAAATAATTAATAGTGAAATTAATTAGTAATCCATTAGATTCTAACTTATTTGTTTAGATAGAGAATGGCAAAATGGCAAAATATTTGTATTTATTTTATAAAATTGTTTTCTTATTTTCAAAAAATAACGTTGTTTAGAATTATTTTCTAAAATGCTCTTTTTATTTAAAAATTTTAAATAATTCATATTATTATTTTCAGTCAATAATGAACGTAACAAAATGAACAAAAAATTTTAAAAACTATAATACAAGTTTAAAAAAATATTTAAAATTTTCTTTTTTCTCTGTCGTCGTATTCTCTATCAAAAATAAATAAATTATATTTGAAAAGAAAAAATAAAACAATTATAAAAGTTTATTGTCATGCAATATATAAAATATATAATGTTACAATTTATGTTTGCCCAAAACATAAAAATAAAAAATGATTTCTTTAGGTTATAATTTATGAATTAAATTATTAAAAATGAATGAAAATATATAGAAAATAGAAAAAAATGTTGATTAGAGTGGATGATAGAAAAAATAGGGTCAAAGTCATTTTTTAATCTTTTTACCTTCCAATAATATAAGTTTTGAATT